CCATGGCAATGACTTTGCTGTATTCAGCCTCCGAAACGCATCGTGCGTGGAAAGAATGCGGGGAAGATGGTAGCATTAGCGTTGTAGAGTGGAATGAGTCAGAAACATGAGAAGAACGCGATGCTCGAGCTCGAGCCTGGAGCCGAACCAGCGTTTGCATCCGACGCAACATATCAGCCGTTTGTTTCCTTACTATATGTCCTTTCACTAACGCTTGAAGCTTCACTAAACCCTTCAATGCTCTCAAGGCCCTTCTCGCCTAAATTTAGAAACAATTTTATCATACAATTTTACACACCTAATTCAAACCAACTAGAGATGCAAAGAAATATTGAATTTACTACTCTTAGTTTGCCAACCACTTCATTTCTTCTAAGCAACAAGATCAGAGAATCTCTAAATTAATTTTTTTTATAACAAATAACCTATTAAAACCATCATTTTGAAGAAAAAATCTACACAACAATTGTTAAAAAAAGAAAGGTTGCAACTTTAATAGTACTAAAAGGTGAGAAAAAGGATGCAACTTTAAAGCTCATAAAGCTTAGAACCCATCTGTTGTTCCACTCTTTTAGTAAAATACATTTGGTACTTTGGAGAAGAAACTAAAATGAAAAGGACTTGGTTTAATCTAAAATTTGATTCTTAAAATTCCGAATTTTATACAAGGTTAAACCCTTAAAAACCAGCTAAATCCAGTTTGGTAAGATTTTGTTTGATTATAATACATGCAATATTTTTGGGACCAAAAAATTTGGGGAATTTTATCTATAGTACTCGAAGACCATTAAATAGTGTCGGTAAGAGAATCGTAACAAAGTTTCTTGGTTTCATATTCATTTTGTCTCTTTTTGATATTCTATTTTCGGGGACCAATACAAAATTATTACTCATCCTTTCTAAATTTTCAATTTGGGATTAAGTAGAAAAATCAACATCATACAGCTATTTCACACTTAAAAGATTTCAAATTTCGAATTTTTAAAGATTAATTTAAATTTAGGGTTAAGTTAAACTAACCAAGTAGCCACGAAAAGCGGATTGAATCTTCATCGCCGCTACATACTCTTGAGCTCTCCGGCGATTATTCCGATTGGTTTGATTTACCGACAAGTTTCTACCTCTTCCGTTAGTGAGTCTCACGACTTCCGCCGCAGCATGAGCAGCCGCGAGTGCTGCTTCAGCCACCGCAGCGGTTGCAGCCGCGACGGCTATCGCATGCTTGTCGGAGTCTAAGCTTTCTTCGTCAGATCGTCTTTTGCTTGGATGAGATTCCGACGTTGCCGGATTTGAGGATCTTGTCGTGAAGCTCCATTTTCTTCTGTTGTTCTTCGTCGGTGGTGATTTGTCTTGCTTCTTGCTCCCGAACAGTCGTCCGAAGAAACCCATTGTTTATTTCATCGCCGGAAAAGTCACCGGCGGTTTCGCTAAGTTTTTTGTCGGAATTTTTTTTTTTTTGTAAGAAGCAAAAGACAATTGGTAATGGAGAAGCTAAAGCGAGTGTGTAATGAGATATATAGAGTACGATTACACGCGCCTAAGTCACGCGCGTTTGTACACGCGTCAACTTATTTTGACCAAGAGTCAATTAAAGTCAATGGGGGTTTTGTGGATCCGGTCTACTCCAAACCGAATTTCTGGTTCAG